GTTGTGTTGTGTTACCATCTCTAAATAAAGTAAGAGAGACGATTTCTTGCGCATGTAAATTACAAACTTCACTTTGCTCTGAGTTTCAACTTATTGAAAGTGTGATCTTGTTGGTTTGATTAGTTTTGGTTGTTCTTGAGCTTTGAAAACCTGAGTACTTGGATTAGATCTTTATTGAATCCAAGAAAGAGTCGAAACGTGCAATACTACAAATACATTAGCTTTCATGCTTAAGAGAGGTCTCTTTTTAACATTTCAACTTATCAGAGTCCAAATATTGTTGAACAGCAACCAAATCCGGTAGCACTACAGCTCCAGCTTCTCTCCAGTCTTTTGCAGCTTCTGTCTTAAACCTGTCAAGCAACAAAGCATGCATCCCAATACTCTTTGCCGGAACATAGTCTTTACGCATACTGTCTCCAATATGCAAAACCTCTTCAGGCGCAATGTTCCCAGCTCTCTCTAACGCGAGCCTATAAATCCTCGGATCCGGTTTCTCTATCCCTTCAATACCAGAGAACACACCAAAATCCCACTCTTCCTATATAACCAATCAAATGAAAACCTGAGTCAGCTTTTTAAGAACCTAAGAATCACACATATTCAGTGAGTCATTATTAGAGACTCTTCACTACCTTGTTCAAACCCAAGGCAGGTAAAATCACTTCTTTATATCGATATTCCGCGTTGCTAACAAGTCCGACTATAAGCCCTTTATCGCGTGCCCATCTCAAAAACGGCCGAGAATCTTGAAACACAGAGTAAGGTGCACCAGAACCAAACGTCGAATAGATTCGCCTAAATATCTTCTCAAATGTCTCCTCATCATACTCATACCCTGCCTAATCAAATTAACCACACCCCTTTAACATCAAAGTAAGTAACACACAAAACATACACGCGAACAATATCGAAACAAGAAATCAAAAATACCTTGACAAATGAATCTCTCACACATGTTTTCCACCAAACAACGTTTGGCATTTTCGCAGCGAAACCGAAACAAGGATATTTCTGTGCCATATCTGTGTAAGCTAGTTTAAAACCTTCATGGACTCGTTTATAATCAGGACAAGGTAAACCAATGGCTTTAGCAGCCATACAATAGTAATCACCAAGCTCTCCTTTGTAAGCTATGAGTGTACCAGTAACATCTACTGTAATACACCTTAATTTCGATAAAAGCGACATTGTTGTTCCTATGAGATTCTTTCACCAAAAAAACTGCACAACAAAACCACAAAAAGATGATCAATTTTTGTGAACAGATAGATACAGATACGAAATTAAGAACTTTTTTTGGCTAATTTCTTCACCTACCAAATCCTTATGGTTCTAATTCTAAACTAATTCGAGAATCTGGGTTTTTGCCCAAAAGTGGAGATGAATTTAAAACCCAGAAAGAAGGAACAATAAATGATGGAATTCAATGACAAACAGTATAGAATCTAATCAAATGTAGGGTACACAAAAAGACGATAGCTTTATTATCGGAAGAAACCAAAAAACAAAAAAGCACGAAAATTTGGGAGAACACGTGAAGGAGAGAGAGAAATTTGAAGTACCCAGAAGCTTGTGGGATTCACATGGAAGGAATCATCATTGATTTTGCTTCTTCTATTGGCTTTTCTTGTGAAGCTTATGAGCTACACTGAAATGGAATCAC